GTGGCACCAAGGGCCAAGGACCTACTCCAACTCTGCTGCCTCCACCTGAGTGGCCTGGTGGGTGACTCCATTTGTCAAGAGTATCTTTCCTTACACATCTGCCTCTTAGCTCCAGGGGGTTAATGGGTGGACCTTGTAAGTGAGCTTTCAACATAGTTCTCATAGGAGCTGGGCTGAGCTGCAATCCCCTTCCCTCCCCAAATTTCCAACAAGTGGGCGGGACCTCACATATTTGAAATTCTCTTGTGGAAATATGAAAAACCACAGCTGGTGAGCTGGGACCACCCGAAGTCACAACCCCGTTGTGCCCCACAATTTTGCCTTCCGTCAGACCATCAAAGAACTGGACACAGTCAGCAGCAGTGTGGACCTGTGCTACCTCCTCAGGGTTGCTCCCCTTTTTCCTCAGACATCTTCTTTGGACAACAGTCTGTCCCTCCCAGGGCCCCATCACCTGGAGGACAAAGGCCACACTCACCAGTGAACTATAATAGCTACCCAGCCTTGCTCTATGTATGGCTCCATGTATGGCTCAGTCATAGCCGGCTCTCCATTCGTTCACAGCCAGATCTAATGTGCTCTCATAGGGGTGTGCTCACGTGACCGTCCTCTCCTCTGTTCCTTACATTTAGGTGTTACGGCCAGTGCATAGGAGTGCAGTTGTCTGCACACCCAGGCTGCTGAACTCCCTGAACGGTCACAGGTTTTATCTGTAGGTTGTTTCAAAATTTTCTGTGGACTCTAACATGCCAATCATGACATCTGTTAAGAGTTTTGATTTTTTCTACACGTGGCCCTGTTGGGGCCCTCCTCCCACACTTTAGTGAGTAAAAGATGGCGGTAAGGCAGGCTCCGCCATTAAGAACCGGCACACCTTTAATCCCACGAGAGGCAGAGGCAGGAGGATCTCCAGGAGTTTGAGGCCAGCCTGGTAGCCTGGTCTACAAAATCTAGTTCCAGGACAGCTAGGACAGTTACACAGAGAAATCCTGTCTCGAAAAACCAAAACAACCACAGCAACAAAGCCCACAGCTAAAACCACCGTACCCTCAACTGCTGTGTTTGTGCAGTGGTCCTAATCCTAGATTGACTTCCCTTTTCTAGTTTGTCCAAAGGGTTTTTTTTCTTTGCCCCCTTCTTTGTAATCATGAAAGAGTGTAAAAATATCATTTTTTTCTGCATTAAGAGAAATATTTTCTTTTTAAATGTAGAGCCAGGGACATGGCTTAATGGTTAGAGGACCTGATACCAGAGCCCCTAGGTTCATTCACTCCCCAACACCACCAAAGTAAGGTAGTACAGGCATGTGGGCCTATATAATCCTAAACACACTCCAGAGGTAGAAGCCAGAGAGTCTGGACTTCGAGTGCATGCTGGGCCTCGGCTGACTCAAGTCCACCTGGGCTACCTTAGCCCCTGTGTCTGAGCAGGGAAAGGAAACTTGGATCATTCCTTAGGTGTGGTGGCAAAAATGACATTTATAGCTTGACATGCTGCTAAATCACCTTCATGTCTGTCCTAAGATAAATCCAGCTGGTTCCGGTATCTACATACAGATGCTGATGCCTTCCCAGTGCCAGCCTTCCTCAGCTCAGAGGAGAGTGGGACCACTCAGCCACAGTTCAAATGTGTTGCTCCAAACTCTCCAAGCTGTCTTCTTGCTCTAGTGTTTGGTATTTGTGCTTTTCTTTTTCCCCGTTAGAGATTTTTTTTCCTTCAAATAACACCTCCTGGCTATTTATCTTCTTATCCCCTTCCTTTTTTCTTACTTTCTGCTTTATTCTTCCCTTTCCAAACTTCCTCAAGCTCCCAGTGTTCTTTTGCTAAAGACCCTTAGCTCTCTGGATTTCAGGCTTCCTTCTTTTTAAAAAAGTGGGTTTTTTATGTATATGGATGTTTTGTCTGAATGTATGTGCACCATGTGTGTGCAGTGCCCTTGGAGGTCAGAAGAGGGCGTTGGATCCCTGGGACTGGAGGTACAGACGGTTGTGAGCCACTAGTGTTTGTTGAGAATGGAACCCAGGTCCTCTGAAAGAGCTCTTAACCCCTGAGCCTTCTTTCTAGCCTCTCCTACCTTTTCTCTAGCATCAGCAATGTGATTTCAACTCTTTATTTTAATTTTATGATGCCCTGTAAATTATTATTTTAAATTACATTTACTTATTTTGAGTGTGCATATGTGTGAGCATGTGTGCCACAGGTACACGTGTGGACGTAAAAGGACACCTGATGGGAGTGTGCTCTACCCTTCCACTGTGTGGGTCCTGGGAATTGAACTCAGGTCGTCAGGCTTGGTACCCACTCTACCTGTTGCGTGGTCTGCAAGGTCAGACATGGTATTTCCATTAACATTTTTCTTTCATTAAGATTTCTAGAAACTTTTCTCAAACTTATGTCTTCTATAGGTTTATTTTGAGTTTGTCTTACTAGGTACAGAGCATAGCAGGCATCTACTGTCCCAGTGTGTAGACCCTTGTGATCATTACATAGCTGCCCCCGTCCCTGGTACAACCATTTGCTTTTAGCCTCATGATCAGAGATCCCTGGATTTGTCTAGGCTGGCACTGTCGGTCATACCTCATGACTGTGAATCTTTTTGCCTCTTACAACTGTCCCTCGTGTGGACTATCTTTACACCAGTGGCAAATGCCACCAATCACCTGTGTCAGAGACGAGTATGTGCCAGGTAGTTGTGCCTGGACAGGCCTTGCTGATGAACACTGGGAGCTTGCTGGCCCCAGATCTAGCTGCGTTGGTACAGGTAAGTATTCTCACTGCTTTCCATGTCCTTCCTCCATAACACTTAGGTTCTGCCTAAGAACCTAAGTAACATGTTAACATGCCTGCTGACATCTGGAGGCATGCACGCTAACATCTGGAGATATCCGGTCTGGATACCTCTCTACCCTGGTGACCCATAGAGCATGGAGTGCATGATCTCAATGAGCATTTAGGACCCCTGTGAGGTTCTGCAACACCCTGAGGCCCTTGCAGTTCTCCAGGATCCAATGCAATATTCAATGATCCTACCCAACACTCAACATTTAATCATATCAGCTGAAGTTTCTCTGACATTCCTCTCCTCCTCCTCCCCACCTGCTCTCTCGGCAGGTTCCTTTCTCCTCTTTGGTCCTTCACATCCCCAGAAACCACTTCCTTGCTCTATGCATGTGCTGCTCCTCAGCTGTCATGGGCACGGAGAAAACAGAGGGGTGGGGAATCTGGGCACCACTATCCACTAACGCTCCCGCAGCCCACAGGACTCTGGGGTTTCACACGTGACAGCGTCTTGATGGCTATTTCTAATTGTCAACTTGACACAAGCCAGACTCACTTAGGAAAATAGTCTCAATGAGGGACTGTCAAGGTCAGGTAGAACTGTAGGCTTGTCTGGCGGGGGGCATTATCTTGAGTGTTAATAGATGGGAGAAGACCTAGCCCACAGTGGGTAGCATCATTCTCTAGGTAGGCAGCCTTGAATTATATGAGAGTAATGTGGTGGTGGTGCCTGTCTTTAACCCCAGCACTTGGGAGGCAGAGGCAGGCGATCTCTGTGAGTTCGAGGCCATCCTGGTCTACAAAGTGAGTTCCAGCACAAGAGCTATTACCCAGAGAAACCCTGTCGCTAAAAAAAA